CTGTTCTTGGATTTTAGCACCATCTGCATGCCCTGGATAAGTAGTTAATGAGATTTTCATATCCTCCTCTCTATTGCTTTTCCATTTTTTATAAGGAACGTTTTTGCCAATACACATTATCCACAACACTAACATAAATTAACCTGAGTTTCTCTCTGACTCCTCTGAAAGCACTATTTTGGGAAGATTCCATGTGGCTCTTTCAGGTAAAAAAGGAGCATACAATAGTTTACTTCTTTGTGTCCCAGCACAACTACAAAGATAGTGGGATTTTAGAAAATGCAACTGCTGCTCTGAATTGCTCTGTGCAGTACTGGCAGAGAGACATTATCATTTCCAAAGGATGAAACCGGAGCCAAGAAAGGCCAAGGAAGCAACCAGAACTGAGCGGGGAAACTGCACTTTTTTTCATTAAAAACCCTAGAAAAAGCTTTCCAGTAGTGTTCTGCAACAAAAATAGTCAAAGAATCTTCTTTTACGATACACTGAATTTGTATTAAGCATGTTGGGGCTGACAAAAACCGCTAAGTTTGGAATGCCCAGCTAGGGGACTGGTGCAGCTACAAACTTTTTTGAAGCTGATTAAAAACTCTGAATCACAGAGATGTATAAATATACTGCCCTAAATTTAACATATTCCAGATTATCAGCATATGATCATGGCCTTGTGTCCTGGCAACTGACAACATACAACTATTTGATAAACACACATAGAGATATATATATGTACATAGCTCTCCTGATCTGGGGAGGGTGGTATTCTGTGAAAAAATGGGTTTTCCCTTTTGCTCATGTTGGTGAGCACTCCATAAAACTTTTAATAACTGAGTCTGATATTCTACACTACTACACTGATTCCATGCAACGATATATCCAGTGCTCCAAAGATGAAAGATCGTACCCACAAGTGCTCAGGCGTCACCATCTCTTTGACAACAATAGTCAGCTACAATTCCTCTCAGTTATATTCAGTTTTCCTGCTCAATTTATTTACAAAATTTTGGGGAAAAAAGGGGTTTGGTCTGTTTCTAAGTGAAATGCAACAGAGATTCTTGTTTAAAGCAATCAGACCATCTGAAAGCAGAGATGGATCACTCAAAATGGTACCACAGTGGCCTTTAGTTTTCACCTACCTACTGTCTCATCTTCCTCTTTTTTTTTAACAAGCAGCATTCACCGCTTTGTTTACAATGAGAATGCCACTCCTGAAGCTGGTGAGACTGATCACAGTTTGTGGAAGGATCCTCAAATTGTATAAATTTCCATAGTTCTCGATGTGAATATGGCTGTTGAAACTTCAAGCTATGAAGTCCAGTCCTCTGTTCTTGTAACCTCCCTTGTTTGTTGAGTTTTTTTCCCCTCCAATATTTATTTTTTTCATTTTCTGAGCCTTTCATTCAATTATGTTTTATAAATTTGGGAGAGTAGAACAGACAGAAGTTCTATAGCTGTTGGAAATTACCAATTTCAAATGTGAGAAAGTAATGGAGGCTTAGCTTATGGAATGGTCAGAATACTGAAATATCCAACATGATCATGTCTCTTCATGGGGCAGAGGAGAGCAGACACAGCAGACAGATAATTCATCACTTCCAGATTTGAAAGCAGCTATATCTCAGCTTCAAAATTCTGTTCTCATTATTTAAGATCTAGATTCTTTTTTGATCCTTTATTTTTTTGTTATGTGGATTTTCTTTTCTACATCCTAATAAAAATCAACAGATTTATGAAAGAATGTTACCCTAGATGTCTTGCAAATATTACAGCAAATAAAGAGAAGAAAATATTTTCATGATTTTGTAGAAAATCATAAACAATCAAACTCTTTCTCACCTGTCATCTGCAAGGTTGAACTTCATACAAATTAGTGGTAATGACATAGGGAATTTGTTTTGAAGCCAAACTTGTAATTTATTTTGATGTCTAAGCAGAAATGGCATGGAATGTTTGGGTAAAACAGTTCATGTCAGAACTAAAAGTGCAGTCAAGAGTGTTCTACCTGCAATCCTGTGCTTAGCATAAAATAAGTACAGAGAAAAAATTATCTCCCCTTGAATATACTCATGCATATCCATATGAACACAGTAGGCTGTGTTATTATCTAAGTCATATGAGATGTCTCTGGCTTCAGAGGATTGTGCAATGTCTTCTTCTACCTGCCCGCACCCATTTTGCAGGTTATTTCATTACTGTAGTGTTCATACATCATTCAAGGATCCCAGCTGCTAGGACAGCCAATAGCCAACAGCCAAAACCTGTTTATACAACAGAGCTGTATCACCAGCAAAACTTAAAGCGGAGTCATCTACAGAAAATAGTACTCAGTTTTGAAGTGTAGTGATGTATCAGTAAAGCATCAAGTTACATACTGTAAGTACTTACACCAAGTCTCCCAGTAAAATTAATTACAAATCTATCCCTCAATTCAAGAACTAATTCCCAAACATACATTTACTCAGCTGAATTTATATACAGTCTTTCAAGGAGCCTATATGTTTCCATTTTGGGGGTCAATGGCTAGCTGAAATGATAGTGTTAAGCTAAAACTTTTCATTACTAAAAGGATGAGCTGAATTTTTGCTCTAAGACATCTCTGAAAATGTCTTTCACAGCAAGTGAAAGTGGGCTGATGAACAGCTCTTGCTTTCAGAAGACTTTAAAAGAATCCATCTCAGACCCTGGACTATTTCTGTTGTAGCACATGTTAGGCCAGATTGGTCTCAGTCATAGTAGAGTAGCATGACTATGCAAACTGCTATGCCAAAGTACACATTCTACTAGTTTCAGCTGAGCTATTTCAGATTCGTAAAAATGCAAGAACAGAACTTAGACTAAGTATATTAAATTAATGACTTGTAGCATGGTCAGAATGCAGTAATCTATGCAAAAACACTTTTAGAAACTGTCAGGGCTTACAAGGCACATAGTGTTGAAAAAAAATTAATTATTTCAATATCTCTTTTCAGAGTATAGGTCAATAGAGAAAAAGGGATAAAGCGCTACAAAATTCCTGAAATATAGAAGTCCATAATTACTATGCATTATGTACAAAAGCATTGTTTGGTATACTTCATAGCACAGATTATCACAACTGGCATTTACTAAGTGTTCTTTTAAACTGTAGGAATCCATCCATCCACAACTGAAGTATTCTTGAAGATTAAGATTAATGTGTCGTGAATCATCACGGTTTAATATGCATGACACAGTTTCATTTCACACATGTTCTGCATGGGTTGATTGTCATGTATACCAATATCAAACAGATGTAAATTCTTTAATTTTTGTGCTCCCAAAGTATGTTTTAATTACCTAGGAGGCTTCATGCAGGAAAAGAGGAAGGTATTTTGAAGTAGATTTAATGAAAAATCTAAAAGAAAAATCCATTTGATTTTTTTTAATATCCTGTTCTTAGCAATTTAAATTTTAATATTAAAAAGAATATTTGATATGCAAAGGAACTGCAGACTCCTCTGATTAAATGGCTCTTGCTTGTTGTAAACAAGAAAATAAACTTTCATTATTTTTCTAATAAAATACCTGTCAACTGAACATGAGCTTGGTGATATGAAGTGTTTCTGCAAGTCATGGTATGTGTATACAATGCCTAAATTCTTAAATGTGGGTATTTTGCAAAGAAATCAAAATTTCATGTAAAATATTACTATATAAATTCTCACATCAACCATGCTATAAGACCCATTTTATGTATGATCTAAATTAAAAAGTCTTTAAATGTAAAATATTTCACAAGCCTCCATTGTACAGAGGCCAGAAATGGGCACGAAAAGATATCCTAGGTTAAAAATAATGTATAATGAGAAAGCTGTTTCCAGCCAGCGCCAGCTCCCACTTTCTGCTGTGTCAGATGCAAGCTATGATTCTCCAGGACCAGAAGAGCAGCGGAGCCACAGGTTAGGATGGAATAGTGTCGGATAAAAACTGTGAGCTTTAACTAATTCCTAATGTGATCAAACTGAGTAGTTACTGTAATTTCCATGAAAGGTAGAGCACGTCTCTAGCTTTGGGCCCGATCTTACTGAAATCAACAGGAATAGGAATGACTCCCAGGGATTTTGCACTAGAATTAGTTTTAGCAAGTTGAAACAGTTTCCACTTGAAAATGATACATATCAAAACTGTTACAAAGAATAACAGTAATAGTAACAGTGGTATATTTGATACATACGTGTTAATGTTAGCATAAACAGCAGATACACAGTAATAGTAGATAAAATATTATCAAAACTAAGATATTCAGCCCTTCCCCATGCCAGAGATCTTTTTGCACAGTAGTGTTTTCAACACCACACAAATTATTTAAATTTCTTGCCTACGTACTGACATAAGCTGGCATAGAGCTTTAAAATGAAAATGTGAACTGACATTTTGAAAAATAGTGGACAGTCATGCAACTAGAGTGCAGTGACCTCTGTCTTCCAGTATTCTCTTTTTTCTTTATTTCTTTTTCCAAATGCCTAAATAAGTGCAAGGTGCTCAGAAACAAAATTTATATTACCAGTGAAACCCTACTTCCAAGGAAGTTAAAATACATTTCCACTGAATTTACTGGGCCAATAAATGAATCTACAGCGTAGAATTCACACACACCACACAAAACACTTGTGCAGATTTCTAAAAACATACACTCATCGCATTGCAGAAAATCAAGCCTGCATTCCTTGTTCAACCAAAATTCCCTGGCTGGAATAACAGCTTTAGATGTTATTTTTGTTCTCATTCTGTTTTACTTTGTTAAGTCACCAGATTTTTTTTTCTTTTTACTTAAGATAAATGTGTGAAAGTGCTTCCTTTCCATTCATAGATGTTATCTTCTTCAAACTTCAAATGATTCATCTGGCTGAATGTAGTTATAAATAATTTATCAAGATACATACCAGTTGTTAGGAAAAAAAAAACCCGAAGGAAGAATATCATTGCATAAAATCTGAACATTAAAATTGATTTTTAAAAAATCAATCTTTAATTGGTTTTATTACCTCCTAATCCAGGTCTGAGGCGATTATCATAACCATCCAGAAGTCTGTCTAGAATTCTTGTAAAGATGGTGATGTTATTCTTAGCTTCATCTTCCAGGGAGTCAGCCAGCACTGATCTAAGTGGACATTTTACATTTTAGAAAATGCTAGGTATGTTTTAAGATACACTCAACATGCAGTTTTTTCAGGCTGGCCTTTAACTTGCTGCACTCTAACAAGAAGGGTGTAGTTAACAGTATATGAGCATACAATTTACATGTATATATACAACAAGTTCAGAAATATAAGAGTCAATGACATACTATTTAAAATTTCAAGGAAGTCATTTTCCAGTAGTCTCTACTTCTAGTCATCATTGCCTCACTGTGAATGCTACTTCAAGCTCCAATAACACATTTGGCTGTGTAGGTGAAAAAGCCTAAAAGAGCTTCCCAGGCCTCAGTGGCACATCACTTAAGGACCATCTCCTTCCAGCTCTGTCTTATCTGTCCTCACTTAGGTATACTCTATCTCTGGATAAATCCTGTGGATATGCTTCCACCCAATGGTCATGTAATGTACATGACTAGAAGAACTAACATGAGGGAAAACTCCAGTGATCATGCTCAGGGAGTCCTCTGACGCCAGTGGTTGGTGGGTGGAAACAACAATGCTGACTAGCAAGCTACAGGATAGCTGTGGATAACCTTCATATTTTTAAAATGTTATTTTGTCATAAAAAGCATTATCTGATATTCCACTAGATGCAGACAAACCTTATAAAAGTTGGATAGAGAAAGAAATAATAAATGAAGAATAAAGAAGAATCTATAGATCACCAATTGTTTCAAACTTCCTTGATAAAGAAGGAGACATTACAGCCTTTATGGGTCAAATCTCTGTGGAACACACTAGGGACTGGAACATGAACCTGCTGCCCAGGCAGCTATGGTGCTTAACAGTCCTCTGGGACCTGGGCACCCAGACCAAAGGGGTTTTGTGCCAGGGAAACCCTCACATGGAGAAAGCCTCACACATGCAACTATTACTGTGCCAACAATTTTAAGCACCCACCATGTGAAATGCATGAGCTCATTAGTCTTACCTACTTAATACCAGCATATTGGTATCAAGGGAGTAAAGCATCATATACTACATGCATTACCATTTATACCTTTTCCAGCCACCTAAATTTTTAACCTGAAATGTTTGAGTATTTATCATCTCTGAATGAACTACTGATCAAGGCATTCTGAATGCCATAAAAGCAAGCATATTTTCTTCCTCCTCCAAACCAAAAGTAGGTTTGGGTGATGTTTTCTCTGAAGCAAGCTATAAAATGACTAAAGACAGGGCTTTATGTTGATCTCCAGTTCAACAGCACAGGGGAAGTATTTAAATGTAAATCATTGCAGTCCGTGCTTTCTACCACATAAAACACATAATCAACCCAAATCAGATAACTTCGAAAGAACACATCAAAATGTTATGTGTGATTTTACTGATGTGTCAGTTCTTTCTTAATTTTAATTACTGGATGGCTCATTTTTTTGTTCGTGGAATGTATTTCTGTACCGTAAGTCTCTGCCATTTTTAAGTCTCTCTTTAAGATACAACAGTTTTTTGAACCCAAGATTCCACTAAGAAATTAGATCTTAAAATTATATCAAATTGGGGTCA